ATCGTCTGAGTTTGGGGCGAAATACCCCAATGTCCCCAGTCCCCCCATTGTCCCCGATCCCCCAGAGTGTCCTCGATCCCCCCAATGTCCCCAGGGTGTCCCCAATGTCCCCAATGTCCCTGATCCCCCAATGTCCCCAGTGTCCCCAGGGAGTCCCCAGGGTGTCCCTAGTGTCCCCTCACCGTTCATCTCGCGCATGGCCCTGACGTACCCCAATCCCCCCAATGTCCCCAATGCCCAGGGTGTCCCCAATCCCCCCGATGTCCCCAATGTCCCCAGTGTCCCCCCGGTGTCCCCTCACCGTTCATCTCGCACATGGCCCTGATGTAGTCGTTGGGGTCCTTGAAGGACACGAAGCCGTAGCCCTTGGTCTTTCCCGAGCGCTTGTCCCGGATCACCTTGGCCTTCAGGAAGGACGGGAAGCGCCCGAAGGCGCGGCCCAGCGTCTCGTCGTTCACCTCGTTACCCAGGTCCCCGCAGAAGATACGGAAATCGTCTGAGTTTGGGGCGAAAAACGGCGATTTTGGGTCATTTCGGGGTCATTAAAAAGCTACAAGATCGTTGTGAAGTTTTGGGGTCATCCTGAAGTTCTGGGGTCATGGGGTGACCTCGGGGTCATGACCCAGCCCACCTTCACCTCGCTCCTGAAATCCCCACCAAAGATCTCAAAATTGTCTGAAATTGAGGTGAAAAACGGCGATTTTGGGTCATTTCGGGGTCAATCAAAAGCTACAAGATCGTTGTGAAGTTTTGGGGTCATCCTGAAGTTCTGGGCTCACGGGGTGACCTCGGGGCCATGACCCAGCCCACCTTCACCTCATTCCTGAAATCCCCACCAAAAATCAGAAAATTGCCTCAAATTGGGGTGAAAAACGGCGATTTTGGGTCATTTCAGGGTCATTGGGAAGTTTTGGGGTCACCGTGAAGTTCTGGGGTCACGGGGTGACCTCGGGGTCATGACCCAATTCAGGGTTTGTCATTGACCTCGTGCCCCAAATCCCCATGAAAGACCTGGAAATGGTCTGATTTTCGGGTGAAAAATGGCGATTTTGGGTCATTTCGGGGTTATAGGGTCGTTTTAGGGTGATATGAACAGCTCAGGTTCATGGGGACACCCCAAAAGTCACAGTCAGGCCCAGCGTCTCGTCGTTCACCTCGTTACCCAGGTCCCCGCAGAAGATACGGAAATCGTCTGTAATTGGGGCGAAAAACGGCGATTTTGGGTCGTTTCGGGGTCATTAGAAAGCTCCCAGTTCAGGGTCTTGTCATTGACCTCGTGCCCCAAATCCCCATGAAAGACCTGGAAATCGTCTGAGTTTGGGGCGAAAAACAGAGATTTTGGGTCATTTCGGGGTCATTAAAAAGCTACAAGATCGTTGTGAAGTTTTGGGGTCATCCTGAAGTTCTGGGGTCATGGGGTGACCTCGGGGTCATGACCCAGCCCACCTTCACCTCGTTCCTGCAATCCCCACCAAAGATTTGAAAATTGCCTCAAATTGGGGTGAAAAACGGCGATTTTGGGTCGTTTCGGGGTCATTAGAAAGCTACAAGATCATTGTGAAGTTTTGGGGTCATCCTGAAGTTCTGGGGTCATGGGGTGACCTCGGGGTCATGACCCAGCCCACCTTCACCTCGTTCCTGCAATCCCCACCAAAGATTTGAAAATTGCCTCAAATTGGGGTGAAAAACGGCAATTTTGGGTCATTTCAAAGTTACCGTGAAGTTTTGGGGTCATCGTGAAGTTCTGGGGTCACGGGGTGACCTCGGGGTCATCACCCAGTTCAGGGTCTTGTCATTGACCTCGTGCCCCAAATCCCCACCAAAGACCTGGAAATCGTCTGAGTTTGGGGTGAAAAACGGCGATTTTGGGTCATTTCGGGGTCATCGGGAAGTTCTGGGGTCACCGTGAAGTTCTGGGGTCATGGGGTGACCTCGGGGTCATGACCCAGCCCACCTTCACCTCGCTCCTGAAATCCCCACCAAAAATCTGAAAATTATCTCAGTTTGGGGTGAAAAACGGCGATTTTGGGTCATTTCGGGGTCATTGGGAAGCTACAAGATCGTTGTGAAGTTTTGGGGTCATCCTGAAGTTCTGGGGTCGTGGGGTGACCTCGGGGTCATGACCCAGCCCATCTTCACCTCGTTCCTGAAATCCCCACCAAAAATCTGAAAATTGTCTGAAATTGGGGTGAAAAACGGCGATTTTGGGTCATTTCGGGGTCATCGAGAAGTTCTGGGGTCATCGTGAAGTTCTGGGGTCACGGGGTGACCTCAAGGTCACGGCCTGGCTCAGGATCTCATCGTTGATCTCGTTCCTGAAATCCCCACAAAAGATCTGAAAATTGTCTGAAATTGGGACCAAAAACGCCAATTTTGGGTCATTTCTGGGTTATAAAATCATTAATGAATTTACGAGGTCGTTACGGGGTCACTTCAGGGTCACGGGGACACCCCAAAGGTCACGGTCAGGCCCAGGGTCTCATGGTTGACCTCATTCCCCACAAAAAGCCCAAAATTCGTCTGAGTTTGGGGTGAAAAACGGCAATTTTGGGTCATTTTGGGGTTACGGGATCGTTAACGAGGCTGCGGTGTCGTTAATGAAGTTCCAGGGTCGTTAACGAGCTCTGGGCTCGTTATGGGGTCACAGAGACACCTGAGGGTCCTGGGGCCACCCCGAGGTCACCTGGGACCAGTATGAACCAGTACAAACCAGTATGAACCAGTACAAACCAGTATGAACCAGTACAAACCAAACCAGTATGAACCAGTATGAACCAGTACAAACCAGTATGAACCAGTACAAACCAAACCAGTACGAACCACTATGAACCAGTACAGACCAGTACCAACCAGTATGAACCAGTATGAACCATTATGAACTAGTATGAACCAGTATGAACCAGTACGAACCAGTACGAACCAGTATGAACCAGTATGAACCAGTACCAACCACTATGAGCCAGTACAAACCAGTGTGAACCAGTATGAACCAGTATGAACCAGTATGAACCAGTACAAACCAGTATGAACCAGTACCAATCAGTATGAGCCAGTACAAACCAGTGTGAACCAGTATGAACCAGTACAAACCAGTACGAACCAGTATGAACCAGTATGAACCAGTGTGAACCAGTACAAACCAGTACAGTCTAGTACGAACCAGTGTGAACCAGTATGAACCAGTACAAACCAGTTCCCTCCCAATTCCCTCCCAGTGACCTCCCAGTACAAACCAGTACAAACCAGTATAAGCCAGCAGCCTCCCAATCCCCCCCAATCGCCTCCCACTCCCTCCCAGTATAAACCAGTAACCTCCCAATCCCTTCCTTATTCATCCCAGTTCCTCCCAGTATAAACCAATAGCATCCCAGTCCCTCCCAGTCCCTCCCAGTCCCTCCCAGTCCCTCCCAGTCCCCCCAATCCCCCACAGTCCATCCCAGTCAGATCGGA